CACATTCGGCTGCACGCCGGAATCAGACTGGCCTTGCTGCTGCTGCTGCTGCTGCTGCTGCTGCTGCTCCCCTTGTCCTTGGGCAGGCTGTTGCTGTTGCTGAGCAAGGAGCGGGTCCTTGACGTCGGCGGCGGGCGTGTGCTTGGTCTCCTGACCGCTGCCGCTTGCAGCTGCAGTCTCCTGCTGCGGGGTGGTCGTGGCGGCGGCCGTTGTAGCAGGGGTGGTGGCAGTGTCGGTGGCAGTGGCAGAGGTGCTGCTGCCGGCCGTGTCCTGTGCTGCCGCTTCTGAGGTTGCCGGCGTGGCTGTTGCTGCGGGGGCGGCTGCGCCCTCCGTTGTGCCTGTTGCAGCAGCAGTAGAAGACGACGCAGAGGCGGCGGATGTGGCCGGCTGCGCAGGCGTGGCTGGCGTGACTGCGGTGGTGGCGGCAGCGGCAGGGCGCGGCGTGTTTGTGGGGGGCAGGACGTCGCAGCGCGGGTCTGCGCCTTGGATGGCAATGGCGAAGCAGTAGCGGCGGCCGTCGCGCAGGTTGCGCACCTGCTGCTCCTGCTCGTCGTTGGGGTCCACCAGGCTGTCTGCGGCGCGGTGGTAGTGCTCGTGCACGTAGCTCTCGCCAATGTACACCTCACGCAGGCGGGAGGCCGGGGGCGCGGCGCGGTTGTCGAGGATGGCCTTGATGTAGGCGTCGCGCATGCGCAGGTGCTTCTCGTTGGGGGCAATGCTGTGCCAGGTGCCGCGGGTGTAGCCCGCGCGACGCAGGAAGCGCTGCACGGCGACGGTGGCCGCCTCGTAGTCCTTCTTGTCGTGGTGGCCGAGCTGCGACTTCTTGACGGAGATGACGTCGCGCTCAATCAGGTACTCGAGCACGTTGCCGGCGGTGACGCGCTTCTGGGCGGCGCGCTGCTCGCGCACGTACTCGCGAACACCAACCAGCGTGGCGTTGGTCACGGGCACGCGCGTGTCCTTCTTGTTGAAGTTGCCACGCAGGCCGGCCACGGGGACGGTGCTTGGTGGGCCGCCGCCGGCCTCGCGCTTGGCGGCGTTCCAGCGGGCATACGCCTTGCCGACCGTGTTAGCGGAGAGGCCGAGAAGGTGAGCCACGGTGTTCTGGTAGTTCATCTTGGTCTTTGCACCGCTGCTCTTGGACTGGTCGCTGATCTGCTTCTGCTTGAGGGCGAGGTAGCAGTGGAGGACGAGGGCGACGCTCTGCTGGTCGAGGGTGGAGCGGCCGCGCAGCTTGCGCAGGGCGGTCATTTCCTGGGCGAGCTCGTCGTTGGTCTGGTTGCGGCTGGTGCGCGGCGACTGCGTGGCCATGGCGGGTGCGGCGCTGCTGGCGCTGCTTGCGGGTGGGACTTGGCCAACCACGCTCACCTGCGCCGGGGTTGCGGCAGACACGGCGACGGTGGATGAGGTGGGCACGTTGGAGGGCGGGAGGACGTGCGCCTCTGCCGGCACGGCGAGCTGAGGATGCTGGGGCTGCTGGGGCTGTTGCGGCTGCTGGTGCTGCTGGTGCTCGTGTGGCTGATGCTCGTGCGGCTGGTGCTCATGCTGCTGGTGCTGTGGGTGAGGCTGGTGCGGCTGGTGTTGCGGGGGCTGGTGCTGATGCTGGTGTGGCTGGTGTTGCGGGGGCTGGTGCTGATGCTGGTGTTGCTGGTGCTGGGCCTCATGCGGCGGCGGCTGGTGTGGCTGCTGCTGGTGCTGCTGGTGCTGGTGCTGAGGCGGCAGCTGGTGCTGGGGTGGGTGCTGTGGGTGCTGCGGCGGGTGCTGTGGGGGGTGCTGGTGCTGGTGCTGATGTTGCTGCTGTTGTGGGACAGCCATGGCGTGTTGCTGGTGGTGCTGGTGCGGCTGGGGCTGTTGCTGGTCGGCCATGGCTTGTGGGTGATGCACTGCGTGCATTGCGGGCGCGGTGTGCGCTGGGCGCTTTGGTGGTGGCGGAGCACCGCCTTCGTCCACCGAAGGCAAATACACGCGCTCAGACATCTGGTGGGGTGGGAGAGGAGGGGGGGGGGGGCAAAGCGGTTGTGAGCAAACGGATGTGTGGACGTGGATGGGTTTGTGGATGGGTTTGTGACAGAGAGACAGAGAGAGACAGAGACAGACAGAGAGAGACAGAGAGACAGAGAGACAGAGAGACAGAGAGAGACAGAGACAGATACAGATACATTCACAGATACAGATACAGATACAGATGCGCACAGATACACTCACACAAACACAAACACACACACACACACACACATCCAACAACGGCTCACCAACGTCTCACCGTCTCACCTTTGAGCTGAGGGCCTTGAGCTGAAGGCGGGAGCCAAGCGACAACACAAAAACTGCTGGCTGTTGGCTTGCTGTGCGTGTCTCGAAACCGTCGTCGACAGCACCAAGCGCAGAGGAGGAGGGGGAGTAGAGCAGGGAGAAAAAAATGTGCTGTCTGCGCTGGTGGCTTGCTTGCGCGGCTTGGCTTGTTGCTTGCTTTTGTGTGCGTTCGCAGAGCAGCCGCCAACGGTCGCATGGGAAGAAATGGCGCGGCAGATATTCCTGGAAGAGCGCAGGGAGTTTTTGTCGAAAGAACGGTGCCGATTAACGGCGCATCGAATTCATAGCGCCCTTTTTGAAAGGTGACGCGCCAGTTGCGCAATTGGCAAAGCGGACATTGCAATTCCTGCAAGGAACAGAAAGGAGGGAAGAACAGTGCAACAGACACCCACCACGTCGCGCATTCAACACTGACACCACACACATACACACAAGCGGTGCAGAATGTCCTCACTGGATGCGGCAGAAGCCACACAGTACGACAGGCAGATTCGCCTGTGGGGACTGGAGGCGCAGAAAAGGCACGTGAGTGTGTGTGTGTGTGTTTGTGTGGTGTGTCTGTGTGGTGTGGAGATAATAATTCGGGGAACGGAGAAGAAGATGATGAAAATGGCGCACGTGAGCTGGCTGGTGGTTGGTGGTGGCTTATGGCAGGGTGCATTTTCTCTTCCCTTCGTCATGTCTACCCTGTGCTCTCCCCTTCCCTGTCTCTCTTCCCTACTCTCACACGTGAGCATGTGACGGGCACAGGATAAGAGCAGCACGGTTGCTCGTGTTTGGTGCCGGCGGTCTCTCCGTCGAGGTAAGCAAGAAGGCTGTTTGTCTGTACTCGTGTGCGTGTGTGAATGTGTGAATGTGTGTATGTGTGTGTGTGAATGTGTGTGTGTGTGTGAATGTGTGTGTGTGTGTGAATGTGTGTGTGTGCAGCTGTCGTTGTCGTATGTGATTGTTGTGCCAAGTTTCAATTTCCTCGCTTGCCATGCACTTACAAAATCACCCACACATGGTTCCCTATGACACCCGTCATGCGCAGACATGCAAGAACCTGGTCTTGGCAGGCGTCAAGTCATTGACGCTCGCAGACGACACTCCCGTCACAGCACGTGACCTGACAGCACAATTCTTCCTCCACCCAGACGATCTCAACAAGAACGTGAGTCGAGTAATGCCTGTGTATTCCGGAGACATGCCTCCTTGCCGCCAACGACGTGCATTGCATGCGACACACGGAAGCACATCAGTCTGCTTCCTGCTCATCATTTCCACTCACCCACTCCCACACGACTCCCACACACACACACACACACACACACACACACACACACACACACACACACACACACACACACACACACACACACACACACACACACACACACACACACACACACAACACCACACACAACACCACACACACACACACTCTCTCTCTCGCACACAACTACAGCGTGCAGAGGCCACCGTGCCCCGTTTGCAGGCACTGAACCCCAAGGTCGAAGTCTCGGCCGTCACAGGCTTGAAGCCGACCCAGCTCACCGCAGACGCTGTCGCCAACTATGACGTCGTCATTGTCACTGACGCCCTCTTCCAAGACGTGGTTCGTCCGTGCCCTGAATCCACACCCACAACGATTGCTCACTTGCCTGTTGGTTTCCTTTGTTGCTTGCTCGTTCACGCGCTTGCTCGTTCGAACCATTGACACTCAGCCCCAAGCCTTGCTTGCTTTTCCTCGCCTCACTCACCCGCCATGGCGTGCGTTGCTTGTGCGTGTGCATGCAGGCGGCAGTGGACGACCTGTGCCGCTCGCAAGGCGTCAAGTTCTATTACGGTACGACACAGAAACGTGTGTGGATGTGCGTGCGTGCGTGCGTGTGTGTGTGTGTGTGTGCATTGCTGCTCACAAGTTTGAACCAATCTGCACATTCATGTATCCGTTGTGCGCATGCGCCTGCGCACTCCAGACACACACACACACACACACACACACACACACAATTATACACAAATATACACACTCGTCCACGTCACTTCTCCACCCCTGTGCTCACATGCCCACGGTACGCTCCCGCACGTAGGCCTTTCGCTCGGCTTCTTTGGCTTCTTCTTCCAGGACCTCAACCACCACGACCACCTTGTGTACGTTTCCACGTGTACGCTCCCGTTGTATTCAAGCGCCCATGTGCATGAGCTCCGGGGTGATGGATTGGGGTTGCGTGAACATCTCTCTGCATGCCCAACTGCTGACAATGCTGCTTGCCCCCCCCCTCCTTCTGCTCACTTCTCCTTGACTGGCACATCTTGTTATACAGGGAGAAGAAGAGCGTCAATGTTGATGACGCCTCAACTTCGGTGAGTCACCTGTTCAACACCTATGCTTCCATGCAAATTTGCTGCGCGTGTGTCTCAACCCCACCCCCTCCCCTGCAAGCACTTCGCGTTCGCTTCAATCCAACATACACACTGCCTCCATCCCCTCGGCTGCACTTGCACTCATACCCGTCTGTGCGTGCGTGCAGGAGCTCGTCTCAATCGATTTCGCCTCTTGGGCAAGAGTGCTGCAACACAACTTCAAGGTACCCTGGCTTGAACCTTGCCTGCACATACTCAGACATTGTTTACACAAACCCAGCCGTTTCCATTCAGAGCGCATCCTTCGCCTGTTTGTGGTGTGGTTCCGCTGCTGTTCCCCTCTCCACCTTGATCCCGCTACCGCAACCTCCCCACCCTCCTCTTCTTCTTTCCTTCTCTTCCCCCCCCCCCCCAAACTACCCCTCCACTCGCGTATCCACTCCCCTATCGACGCACTTCTTCCCTCTTATTGTCCCTCCCCCCCCCTTGGCCGTATTGCTTGCCTCGGTCGATTTTACAAATCCCATTCGTGTGCCGGTCGAGCGGCTGGCTGGCTGCGCCTGCGCGCGTATGCGTCCAATCGATGTGCATTGCGCGTGGGCTGGCCAGTTAGCTGCTGCCATGGTCACGGATGATTCAACGGCGACCCAAACCAAAACGGAGGCTTGGTGGCAGTCGCGCGCGCTACCGCGATCTTATCGCTTGGCATCTTCCCAGCGTGCGAGTGCTTCAGCCTTTTTTCTTTTGAAACGGAACATTTGTGCTGGCTTGTCCTCTCCCCCCCCCTTCCTGCATTGTGCTGGTTTTGATTTTTTGTTGTATCGCTTGACGGCAGTGTGGCCAGAGTTGGTCGCACGACAGCTCCCTCCACTCCTGGTGTTCCCCGCCCCTCTCCTTTCTCTCTCTGTCTGTCTGTCTGTCTGTCTGTCTCTGTCTGTCTGTCTGTCTCTCTCTCTCTCTCTCTCTGTCTGTCTCTGTCTCTGTCTCTCTCTCTCTCTCTCTCTCTCTCTCTCTCTATCTTTATCTCTCTCTCTCTCTCTCTCTCTCTCTCTCTATCTTTATCTCTCTCTCTCTCTCTCTCTCTCTCTCTCTCTCTCTCTCTCTCTCTCTCTCTCTCTCTCTCTCTCTCTCTCTCTCTCTCTCTCTCTTTCTTTTGCCCCTCATCTCTTCGCCTCTCTTTTTGGATTTCTTCAAACCCCTCGGCCTCGCTGTTTGCTTTCTCCCTCGTGATTACTGGCCCCACAGTTTCACCACCATGACTTGACAGCCTGTATCACACTGCTCTTACTCCCAACTGCACTTCCCTCTCTCACCTCATCACACTACATCGCTGTCATCGCTTTCGCTGCACATGCACATGTGTTAGGGAACACGCCGGCGCTCGCTGCCTCACCTCTTCCTTGTGCTTCGCGCATTCCACCAGTGGCAAGCTTCCAACCCTCTGCCTCAGGTACACGTGTGTGTGTGTGTGCGTGTCGTGTGTGTGTCTTGTGTGTTGTGTCTGCTCCTGCCTGCAGTCTTCTGTAGGGCTTTGTGGACCTCACCCATGCACCCGTGCTTGCGCTCCATAACGATGGCTGCCTCTTCTGCAGGGTGTCACACCTGAGCTGCTTGAGCACGTGGCTCGCGTCTTTGCGGCCAGCGGCGTGGATGAAAACACCGTCAACAGCGACTTTGTTGAGCGGTGAGACGCTTTTCTGCTGCTCAGCCTCGGAGCGCCGTCATGTCCTTTTACGTGAAGAATACATATGTGTGTGTGTGTGTGTGTGGTATCGAGGGCATGTCACACTCTATTGCGTACGCAAGCTTCTGACTTTGCTTGGCACAACGTGGCGCTTGTGTGGCTGTGATTGATTGCAGCGTACTGATGAGCACACACGCGGAGTTGTGCTTGGCCACGGCTGTTGTCGGCGGCGTGCTTTCTGGTGAAGTCATCAAGGCTGTCTCGGTACGTTCCATCCACAGGGTGCACCCTCGTAATTGCTGTGTCTTGTCCACCTCCTTGCATTGGCCACACTGGCTACCTTGCGCCGTATCACCACACACACACACACACACACGCACACACACACACACACGCACACACACACGCACACACACACGCACACACACACGCACACACGTTCGCCTGTGTTACTTGCTGTTCATGCTTACTCAACCCGTCTTCTCAACTGACATCCCAATAGGGCAAGGGCGAACCTCTGAACAACTGCTTCTGCTTTGATGGCTTTGAATCTGACGGTGAGTGCCTCCCACCCGCCACCGTCATGGCTGTCTGATTGGCGTTTTGCAGCTTCCCAGCTCACCTCTCTGTCCTCTCGCCTGGCAATTGTGTGTGTGTGTGTGTGTGTGTGCATTCAGGCCGTGTGTTTGAGCTTGGAACCGCACAGGACGACAGCGACGCGGCGAGCAGCACAGCCGCCCCTCCCGTGCAGGAAGAAGCAATCGTTGAACTGTAGCCCGCACAAGACCATGTCATCGATATGGATGGCGCGTTTTTGTCCATCTACACCCTCTCTTCTTTGGACAGTGTCTTTGTCTACCCCCCCCTCTTATTCTTTTTTCTGTTGTTCATGAATGATCGCTGCTTTTGTCGTTTGTCGACTGTTGCTTTTTGTCGTTGGCGTGCTTGTCTCGCATGACTTGTGGCAGTGTAATGTAATCAACGACCATACACGCGCGCCTCCGTTTGGTGTTTGGGCGCTGCAAATGTAAGAAACCATTGACACACGTACACGCCAACGATGAGGCGCAACAAGCACACGAGCCAGTTATGCACCTGCAATGAAAAAAAAAATCTGCAACTGAAACAGCAGAAGTGACGATGACCTGGTGCACGCAGGCGAAAACGTTTCGATCATGTAACAGGGAGAAGGATAGGAGTTGTGCAACAGCCATAATGTGTACACAAGCAAGCAAGGAAAAGATGCATGGCGTTTCTGTCAACAGTATCCATCAATGCAACACACACACACACACACACACACACACACACACACACACACACACACACCATGCACACACACACCACATGCACGCAATACTAGTCAAAGCCAAGAAGGTCTGAGAGTGTCGTGGATGGGCTCATGACCATGGTGTAAGGCAGCTCGTCCTGCTTGCACTTCAACTCAAACAACGGCCCTCTCCTGCTCGACGGCGTCATGACCCCTCGCCACAGCGGCTGCTGCGTCGATGCCGCTGTTGTTCCTGCGCGGTCGCCGGTGCGCTTGCTCCGTTTCGCCGCCAGCTCACCGTTGTCGCCATCGTCGTCGTCACCACTTGTATCGCCAACGGGGCCGCGTGTGCCGTGCGCCTCCACGCAGGTCTCCGGCGCAGTGCCCAGTTCGCCTCGCAGCTCAGCCTCCAACTCCGCGCCGGGCACACCCGCGTCTTGCTGAGCGCTTGGAGGCATTGAAGGGGTGTGTAACACGGGCAGGTTGCTTGTAACAGCCGCCCTGCTTGCTGCTGCTGCTGCTGCGCCTGGTATCGCTGCAGTTGCGGTTGTTGTTGCTGCTGTTGCTGATGCCGCTGGGATGCCGAGAAAGTCGTCATCGAGCACAAACCCTTGCACGGTGAACGGGTCAGTGTAACGCGCGCGCACGCAATTGAGGCCTTGGTCTGCGAGGAAGTTCTCCATGTCGAGGTTGACGGAGAGATGCATGTTGTCCACGGAAGGAATGAAGAAGGACAGGCCGTTGCGCAGCTTGTCGACTTGCAGGAGGTCGGAGGCGGAAATGGTGCGGGCAGATGGGTGGTCCTTGAGGGCCTTGAACGCGTTGAGGGACTGTGTGAGGAGATCGTGCAGCTCGCGCTCCTTCTGTGACAGTGCGCGCACCTCGTCGTTGAGCCGGTTCTTCTTTGAGACAAAGTCTGGATCGGAGGTGTTGGCCACCAGCTGCACGTGGTACACGCGTGGCTGCACCTGCAGACGCTGGATCACGCCAATGCCCTCCAGGACATTGACCACATCCGACAATCGGCGACGCGAGAAATGAATGCCCAGGTTCTCCAGGTGCTGCTCGACGTCTGCAACGGACATGCGGCGGTCTGGCTGGTTCTTCAGGATGTGGATGAACTGCCGCGTGATGTTTGTCAGCGATTTGCCCTCCCGCTTCCCGGGCGTGGACGTCGCGGACATGATGCCTTCGCAAGATGTGTGTGTGTGTGTGTGCGTGAGTGTGTGTGTGTTGTTGTGTGTGTGTGTGTGTTTGTGTGTGCGTGTGTGTGAAAGAGTGAGGGAGAGTTAGTGAGTGGGTGAGGGAGAGTTGTTGAGTGAGTGAGTGAGTGAGTGAGTGAGGGAGGGAGGGAGGGAGAAGAACAAGGAGAAGAACGTTGAGTTTGGGTATCATGCGTGCGTGTGCATGTCTAATCAATACAGAACGCAGGAGCGGCCGTTACACACCAATCGCCAAAAAGAACAGTCATCCACACACAGACACACTCACGAGTAACGACGAACCTCGTTGGCGTTGTTCGTTCCTTTGTCTCTAGTTCTTTCCCTTGTGGTGAACTCACGCCTCCCCTTGGGCTGTACCCAAGCAGAAGACAAGACAAGAGATAACTTGACCCTCACGCTCGACCCTCACTCAACTTGGTTCTTTGAACTTGTGGCGCTCTGGCTAGGGTGCTTCAAAGACCGCGGCGGTGATAATTTGTGGACATCTCACATGAAACCTCGAGCCTGTGAAATTTGTCGGGAATCTTTCGCCAATTAACCAAGTGCGCGGCTTGCGTTGACCCCCACCACTGCCACAAGGAAAAGGTCTGATGCTGGAGGAGAGCGTGCCTTGCTTCTTGTGTTGTGCTGTATGCAGTGCGGGAACAACAGCACATGGAGTGTGAATGCATGTGTGTGTGTGTGTGTGTGTGTGTGTGTGTGTGTGTGTGTGTGTGTGTGTGTGTGTGTATCCTTGTGTGGATCGTGTGGTCCTGCTTTGCTTGTTGGAAATTTGCAAGTCATTTCGGCTCACGCTCACTGAAATTCGTCCTCCTCCCTGCCTCTGTCCTCCTACTCTCCATCAATCCCAACACACCACCTCATTGGTTTTTGTTGACACGCTTGCAGCTCCCTCATCAAGCCCAAACGACAAGAGCATTCGAAGTAGCTTGTGCCTTGTGTTTCTTCTTTGTTTCCAGAGAAACAGGGAACCACCATGTCGCTTACGTCACTGAACCCGCGCGTGGCGCTCACAACCCGCCCACGCCGCGAAGGTCAGAGTCAGAGTCATCAAGTGTTCAGTTGCATGAGGGAGATCAACGCACATCCACCACGCAGCTCTCACTGTCTTGTCCTCCATGGGCTGGACTGTACGCATCAAACGCAATGGCGCTTGGAACACTGTTTTGTTCACACACGTGCACGCTCACACACACACGCACGCACATGCACGCACACGCACATGCACACTCCTATCCTTTGCATGAATCTGCACTTCAGGTGAGACGGATGGTATCCACTATCATTTCGTTTCGCGCGACGAGTTTGAGCGCCTCCTTGCCGCCGATGCTTTCATGGAGCACGGCGAGTACAAGGGCAACCTGTACGGCACTCTCAAGCGCAGCGCAAGCTCCTATGCTCAGCCCACGTCTCCCACCGCCAACGTGCGTTTCCTCTGTGTGTGTGTGTGTGTGTGTGTGTGTGTGTGTGTGTGTGTGTGTGTGTGTGTGTGTGTGTGTGTGTGTGTGTGTGTGCTGGTTGCAGCAGCGTATTGCGAATAGCGTGTGTGCTTCCGAAGAAGGGCGCATTGGAAGCGAACTCGCTGCCACCCTTGCTGCCACTCCGCAGTGTCGCGTCAACGACCTCATGCAACATGCTCCCTGCACGCATTCTGACCAACACACGCTCAAACATGTCGGCATGATAGGGTGTTGACCAGAGCCTGTACAAGCTGCAGACGGTGATCCTGCATCGTGGCGAAAACGGCAGCTTCAACGTCGCCCTCTCCGGTGGTGTGAGCAACAAGCGCCTCATCAGCGTGGCCGGTGTTCTTGACGGCGCCGTTCAGCTCGCCTACACCGCTCGTCCTCTCCGCAAGGTGTGTGTGTATGTGTGTTGCTGTGTTTATGCATGTTTACGTGTATATATGCGTATGGGACAGAGAGACAGGGTTTATGTATGTGAGTGAGTCTCTCTCTCTCTCTCTCTCTCTCTCTCTCTCTCTCTCTCTCTCTCTCTCTCTCTCTCTCTCTCTCTCTCTCTCTCGTTTGCTCGCTCGCTCCGACTCTGTGTGTGTGTGTGTGTGTGTGTGTGTGTGCTGGTCATCGAGCTTGGATGTTGGCAGCCGCAACGCCTGTGTGCTTGTTGCATTGTTCACTGACAAACCCGCCCACTCATGCATGCTGCAACAACCACAATCCCGCCACCAACAACTAGGGCGACTGCATCATTGCCATTGACGGGCAGTCTGTTGGCGGCGTCCCGCTCGAGGACGTGCAGCAGCTCATGCGCACCGCAGGCCCTGCCGTGGAGCTTCTTGTCTACTGCATGGATGGTGAGGTGGACTCCGACTACACCCTGCTCTCAAACTTCCTCCGCAGCAACAGCACAGACTCTGCCGAGCTTGCAGCCGTCAAGGCCGACATCAGGTGCGTTTGCCCTTGCGTTGTTGTTGTTTTTTTTTTTTTTTTTGGCGCCACTGCAACAGTTGCAGCAGTTGCATGTCTATCATCAACGTGCCATGCTTGATATAGGTCCTCGTGTTACTTGATATCAGTGCCCTTTCTTTTGCCGCACCTGCGCTTGCCCTTTCCTTGTTGTTCTTTTCGCCATTCTCACTCACACGCACACCCACAAACGCACACCCACACCCACAAACGCACACCCACACACGCACACAAATACACACACACGCGCACACACACTCTCTGTCTCTCAGGGCGGATGTGTATGGCGCCTCTGTCCCGTACACCACTCGTGCGCCACGCGAGGGCGAGGTGGAGGGCGTCAACTACCACTTTGTGACGCGCGACGACTTTGAGGCCATGGTCAAGGGCGACCGCTTTGTCGAGTGGGGCGAGGCCAACGGCGTGATGTACGGCACCCCCAAGCGCAAGCCGGGTGCATCTGTGCGCCGCGTGCCATCGTCAAGCACGGACGGCCCCGCCGACGCCGACGTCGCCTCTGGAGAGGACAGCGCCAACGCCCGCCCGTCGCTCCGCCGCTCGCAGGCACACGCGGCCTCTGTCAGGGCCACCAGCCGGCCCCGCGCCATCACCATCAAGCACGCCGGGCCATTCTCCTCCATGGGCCTCGAGCTCACGCAGACCCGCGACGGCGTGTTTGTGCTGGATGTGGTTGACGGCTCACCCGCCGCGGCTGCGGGCCTGTCCAAGGCCATGCAGGTGCTCGCCGTCGACGGGGTCGATGCTTCCGGCAAGGACGCCGCCTTTGTCCGCAACCGCCTTGGCCAGGTCGCAGACGAGCATGAGCTTGTTGTCCGCTACAACACCCGCGCCTTCTCCTCCGCCGCAGCGGTGAGTCGTGTGTGTGTGTGTGTCTGTGTCTGTGTCTGCGTCTGTGTCTGTGTGATGTTTGTGTGTATGTGTGTTTGTCTGTGTTGTTTGTCTGTGTGTCTATTTATCCGTGGGTCTCTCCTCCTCTTCTTCTCCACAGCTGCTCAATTTACTTAACGGCTGTGTTCAATCCCTCCCTCCCTCCCTGACTTCCCCAAACCAAATTGCGCATGCATGCCCTTTCTACATCTGCCAGACGCTGATTGGCGGCACGAAGAAGGAGCACATCTTCACTGCCGTTCTCGGCCGCAACGGCAGCGGCCGCTGGGGCATCAGCATCGGCGGCGGCGCGGAGCAGGGCCGCCTCATTGTCTTTGAGAAGCTCGAGGATGTCCACTACATCGCCAAGACGCGCACCATCGCCGAGGGCGACTGCCTGCTGGCTGTTGACGGCGTCTCCGTTGCCGGCAGCGGCCTCGCGCACGCCGTGGAGCAGATCAAGAAGGCGGACCAGGACATTGAGCTGACTGTGCTCAGCACCGCAGACACGGCCGTGTCCTCCAACCTCGACGACTTCTTCCTCGCATCCAAGTACGACAGCGCCGCGCTCGCTGCTGCCAAGGCCGACATCCGCGCCAGCGTGTACGACTCCACGGTCGCCTACACCACGCGCGCGCCACGCGAGGGCGAGAAGGACGGCGTCAACTACCACTTTGTCACGGAGGACACCTTCAAGGACATGATCAACGCGGGCTCCTTCTTGGAGTGGGGCGAGCGCGACGGCGTGTACTACGGCACGCCAAAGGCCTTCAGCCCGCGCAAGAGCCGCCGCGCGTCGCGTGCCCGCCGCGCCATCTCCACCGTCACCACCGCCGTGCAGACGGTCGTCATTGCCCGTCTTTCCGACGGCACGTGGGGCGTGGAGATTGCCGGCGGCCTCAGCCACGGCGTCCTGCCGCACGTCTCTGCCGTGTCGGACAACTGCAACATGGTTGCCTTCTCGGAGCGGCCGCTGCTTCCTGGCGACGTCATCCTGGCCGTGCAGGGCGTGAGCATTGCGGGCTTTGACCTCGGCTACATCAAGCGGCTCATGGACGCGCAGGGCGACGAGGTTGAGCTCACCGTCATGTGCACCAACAGCACCCGCCCCACCAGCTTCCGCGCCCTCCTCTCCCACAGCAACGGCCAGAACCTGCCCGAGGATCTGCAGACAGTTGTGGAGGATGTCCGCAGCGACATTTACAAGTCCACGGTCCCCTTCACCACGCGTGCACCGCGTCAGGGGGAGAAGGACGGCGTCGACTACCACTTTGTCACGGAGGAGGAGTTTAGGCGCATGGAGAAGGAGGGCAAGTTCATTGAGGTTGGCGAGAGCAACGGCGTGCTGTACGGCACAGCTGCCCAGTCCAAGTCCAGCTTCCAGCCGCGTTCCTCCCGCACCCGCCGCCGCCTCAGCACCCGCTCCCGATTCAGCCGCCCTCGCATGTTTGTCATCCACGCAGACGACAATGAGGTCTGTCCCTGCGCGTTCGCCCTTGTGTGTGTGTGTGTGTGTGTGTGTGTGTGTGTGGGTGTGTGTGTGGGTGTGTGTGGGTGTGTGCGCGTACTTGCGTGCGTGTGTGCATTTGTATTTGCGCATGTGCCGCGGCGTACTTCTATTTGGGTGACGCAGCTTCTTCTCCGTGTTCTTCTTGTTTTCTATTGATACATGCACACGTTCACATTTCATTGTGCTCACCGCATTCGCCTCCTTTCTCCGACTCCTGCCTTTATAGTCTGTCGGCCTCAGCCTTTCCGCCATTGCGCCTGGTGCTGGCGGCGGTGTTGAGGTGACGACCACCGATGTTGGCAAGCCCGCGCACCGCGCTGGCCTCCGTGCAGGCATGAAGCTCCTGACGGTCGAGGGCGAGCCCGTGGAGCAGAAGGACGTCAACGACGTGGCACAGATGCTTCTTGACCCGTTCAGGCAGAAGGGCAGCGTCAGCCTCACCGCTTGCTACGCCCCAGCCACCAAGCTGGTACGCGCACTGGCACTCAAGTCTTGATTGCTTTCTGGGGCCCTGGTCTTGCGTTGCGTCAATGTAATTGTTCACATCAATGTAATTGTTTGCACTGTCATCACACTTACCCTCAGTCACTCACGTGTACCCTATGGCTCTTCCTCCTGCCTCATCCTTCGCACACTACTTCTACGCCTGCCTCTTTCCGCTTTACCCCCTCCCGCTCCCTGCTCCCCTTCGCCGCCGTTGCTCCCATTTCTGCCACATAGATGGCCAACGTGACCGTGCCTGTGTTTGATGAGCCTGACAACACCACCGCCGACGACGATGAGCAGACACACGTCCACTTCATTGGCTCTGAGCAGATTGATGACAACAAAGTCCGCATCATTCAGACGTGGGCATGCCCGCGCTCCCTCTCCACAGCGCTCATGTACTCCTTTGCACAACGATCGGACACAACAGTGGTGAGTGCATCGTGTGTGTGTGTGTGTGTGCGTGTGTGTCTGTGTGTCTGTGTGTCTGTGTGTCTGTGTGTAACTGTGCTCGCTTGCGTGGTATGTATATTTGTGTGCGTGTGTGTGTGTGTGTGTGTGATGCCGTGCGCACTGTGGGGGAATTTACCCCGCAATCGGCACGCAACATCATTGAGTGCCCCTTCGCTGCATCTTTGTGTCGTGTGCTCACACGTGCCACCGCTGCCTGCTACACCATCGCGACTCCTGTCCCTATCCTTCTCTCGTCCACCACGCTTGTTTTGCATGTTCCTGGCTGCGTTGACTCGACCACCAGCGTGACGAGCCCTTTTACGGGTCGTTCCTGCACAAGAACCCGCACCTGAACCACCCCATGCAGGACGAGGTCATTGCGTCGCAGCCAACAAACCCGGCCGAGGTGGTGCAGTCCATTCTCGCACACACATCCACGCAAGTGCTGTACTGCAAGAACCTGGTCAAGCACATGCCAACAGACGTCGACGATGACGACGCCTGGCTCAGCCGCTGCGTGCACATCTTCCAGTTCCGCAACCCTGCCGCCGTTGTGTCCTCGTTCAAGAACTTTGCCAAGCCAACTGCGGACGAGACGTGCTTCCCGCAGGCACACGCCCTCATGACCAAGCTCAGGGAACGCAACATCCCCTTCTGCGTCGTCGACTCTGACGCGCTGACCATCAACCCGGAGGCCGTGCTGCGCCAGCTGTGCCATGGCCTTGGCATCAGCTTTGACGAGGCCATGCTGTCCTGGCCGGCGGGGCCAAAGGAGTACGATGGCGTCTGGGCGTCTGAGTGGTACAAGACCGTCCATTCCTCCACCGGCTTTATGGTCCGTGATTTCTGTTTTTTTTTTTGTGTGTGTGTGTATTTGTATGTGTATGCGTCTGTGTGTGTATGTGTGGTTGTGTGTGTGTGTGTGTATTTGTATTTGTATGTGTGTGTGTGTGTGTGTGTGTGTGTGGCTGTGTGTAGCTGTGTGTGGCTGTCTGTCTGTGTGTAAGGTCCCATTCAGCTCACATGACCACATCCCATCAATTCCCCTCTCCCCACAAACAGCCGAGCAAGTCGATGCACACTGTCGATGCCGCGCTGTTGCCTCTGATTCGCGACGCGTATCCGTTCTACCTCGCCCTCTCCCAGCACGCAATCGGCCATGGCATGTCGCCTTCCATGTCAGTGGCCTTCACACGCACTTGCCTGTTTGTTTTCTTTGCTCTTCACTCACACACCCATTTGAGTTGTCATTTGCTCCGGCTATGCTCGTCGACCCGCACCTTACCGACTTACGTCATCGACTCCCCTTCCACATTCCATACACATACGTATTCATGCGCGTGCTCGTGTGGCGCATTAGGCTGAAAAACGCCAGCACCGACGACCTTGCGGCACCAGAGCTGCCTGACGCGCGCAACGAGAACGTGCTTGTGTGGGTTGGCCGCGGCCTTGTGCCCCGCGCCTTTGCGTCCCTGTCCGTGTTTGACTCTGCGGTGCAGGGCGGTGACGCCGTGTGGGAGGGCCTGCGCGTGTACAACGGCAAGGCGTTCCGCCTGGACCAGCATGTGCAACGCCTCATTGACTCTGCCAAGGCAATGGCCTTTGATGACATTCCATCCCCGGAAGACATCAAGGTCTGTGCATGTATGTGTGTGCCTGTTGTGCGCGCGCGTGTGTGTCTTTTGTGCGTGTGTGTTTATGTGCCTTTTGTGCGCGTGTGTGTCTTTTTTGCGCTGAGCTGACTGCGGTTCACGTGCACTGTAATTCAGGTGCGCTGCGATGCTCGCAACACTCGTATTGTCAACGACAACCGTGGTTTGTCACACCCTCTCAACCCCCTTCCCTGTCTCACGCCCCCCTCCCACCCTTTACTGCTTCACCTGACCACAGGAGACAATCTTCAAGACGCTGGCTGCCAACAACATGCGCGATGGCGTGCACGTGCGCATCACCCTGTCCCGTGGTGCGAAGGTCACCTCCAGCATGAACCCGGCCTTCAACCAGTCTGGCTCCGTGCTTGTCGTCCTTCCAGAGTTCAAGGGCGTGCAGGGCGCTGCCACCTACAACAACGTGGATGGCGTGAAGCTCATCACTGCCGCCAACCGCCGCAACTCGCCCCAGTGCCTCGACTCGAAGATCCACCACTGCAACCTCATCAACAACATCCTGCCCAAGATCCAGGCCAACGCTGCTGGCGCCGCAGACGCCATTATGCTTGACCTCGACGGCTTTGTTGCCGAGACCAACGCCACCAACCTGTTTGCAGTCAAGGGCGGCGCCGTCCTCACGCCCTCTGCCGACTACTGCCTGCCCGGTGTCACGCGCGCTGTTGTGATTGAGCTGGCCGAGAAGCTCCAGCTGCCTCTGCAGATCCGCCGCGTCTCCCTCGCCGAGTTCCACGCTGCCGACGAGGTACATTGTGTGTGTGTGTGTGTGTGTGTGTGTGTCTGTGTACTTGCGTGTGTAAGTGTGTGTGTGTGGGTGTGTGCGTGCTTGTGCGTTATTTAGTCTGCGCGTCTCTTCTGTGTGTGTGTGTGTGTGTGTATCAGCTGCGTGCATGTGCTCATTTTGGCATCTCCGTGCCGTCTTTCCTTATGCATCAACATCCCCCCCCCCTGTGCCTTGTCTTCTCCGCTAGGTGTTCACGACTGGCACGATGGGTGAGCTCACCCCCGTCATTGCCATTGACGGCCGCGCCATTGGCTCTGGTGCCCGCGGGCCGATCACGGAGCGCATCCAGGCCGCTTTCCACGACCTCACAGAGGCCGAGGGCGAGCAGCTGCCGTTCTAACTGCAGCGTGGCGCCGCACAAGCCCTCGTCGACGACCCCCTCCATGGTGGTGTCACTGTCGACGTGTTTCGTTCCCTGTTCTCTAGTGGTTCGTTTTCCTGTCCTGTTGTTTCTTTCTTTGTTCATTCTCCCCTCTCCCTCGCCTTTCCGCTTTCGTTTTGTTCGGCTTACGTTCTCTCTGCCGCTTACTGCTTTGCTTTACGTGGATGCATTGGCTGCTTACGCGTTTTGTTTTTCCTTCCGCCTTGTTCTTCTTTGCGCTCTCGTCGTGTCTGTGTCTGCGCAGCTGTTTACCCCTCGTTGTAGCTGTTGTTGCCGCTGTGGCGACCTGCTGTACTGTTTCGCTGGTTGGAGCTCCTTCTTTCGCAGAGGCTGACTCGCTTGTCGTTCTACCAGCACACAGATACACATACGCATGCTCGCGATCCAATACACTTTCGGCGTCAAGACTGGTGTGTCATACGTGTGATGTTTGTACAAACTCTTTCGGTGTTGCAAACCAACCACAATGTAACAAGAGAGATAGACAGAAAGAGAGAGAGTGTGTGTGTGTGAGAGAGAGAGAGAGTGTGTGTGTGTGTGTGTGTGTGTGACGGGTCAAGTGCTGGACAGTCACGCAAGCGTGGTTTGGCAAGCGTTGTTTGCAGGGGTGATGGTGAGCGTGAGCGCCGATGTGTCTGGCTGGATGGGCACAGCTTCCGCCATGAGCATGTACCCGTTTCGTGCATAGAAGGAAGTGTTGAGGTCAATGGTCCAATTGACCTGCTCTGCTAGCGAGTAGATGGCGCAAGTTGTGCCGAGTTGTGACACTGCGTCCCCCTTCAGTGCCGCCACGAGCTGGTTCTGCCCATTCACGCCAAACGTCGTGTTTCGCTCGCCTGTCACATTGACGAGAGCAATCAATGTGAGATGGTGGTTTGCATGTCTGAATGTCTGTCTGCTCATATGTGTGTGTGTGAATATAGGCTGCTGCAAATCGTGTGGTGGGGCGTCACGGCAGTGAACGAACCATCAAATGCGAAGATGGGGATGCGGATGGAGAGGCCAGCCACATCCTCGCGCACACTCGAGATGATGGTCACCTGCACCAACAACATATGGTCGGTCATCAGCAATTGCACGAGGAGTCAGCGACAGACCGCAGACAACCACAACTTGGATGTATGCATGGAGAGACAAGTGCAAATACACATCTTGAGGAACGAACACACACACACACACACACACACACACACGCACGCACGCACACACACACACACACACACGCATGCACATGTACACACACGCATGCACATGTACACACACACACATACACACATTCACCGCCATCAGCCCCAGAACTCACATTGTCGGGGGTCACGGTGTACTCCTCGTTGACGTGGAACCGCGATGAGGCGAGATCGGCAGCGACATCATAGTGCACGGTGTAGTGCACGCGGTCAGGCGCGACCGTGTGCTGCTCCAGCTGTGTGCTGCGGGTGTTCACAAACGAGAAGTTGGCGAGCGAATGCACTTCCGTGCGATTCACGCGGTGCGGCCGCACACCCTTGATGGCAAACGAGTTGAGCCCGCCCCCTTGCGCAAACAGATAGATGCAGGCACAAGCCACGGCGTTGACGTTGACGTTGACGTTGGCGTTGTGTGTGGGTGGGTGTGTGAGCGAGAGAGAGGGAGAGAGTGTGTGGGTGTGGGTGTGGGTGAGCGGGTGAGTGTGAAGGCGCTCGCTCACGTATAGGAGCATAAGGAGAACAGCAATTGAGAGCAAAAGCAGTTGTGACAGACAATGATACCAACAGTTACCGTGTGCGTGTGAGAAGAACCAGGTCATGCGGTGGCACCTTTTCCGAAGAAGGAGTGAATCCAAACGCGAACGAAACGTGCGCGCAGCGGGTATTCTGGTGTGAAGGTTTGTGGCGCGACCGTTGTCTTTCCTCTCACGTCTGCAAGGTTACTCTTCACGACATTCTGCCATGTGCTGTTGTCGTCGTCGTGGGTGCTGTTGCTGACATCGATGGTGAAGGCCTTGGTGCCAAAGTCGTTGTAGTGCGAGTTGTGCGTGTTGGCCACCACAAACGCCTCCAGGCGTTGTGTTGCACTGCCAAGGTCGAGCACAAACCCGCCCGTCTGCGCATACGGCAGCAGCCACAGGCTCGACTGGTCATCATACGGGTTGTCGCTCCACAGAATGTTGGTCACCCTGAAGCGTGACGGATCAAAACTTGACGAAGCGCTGGCGACGCTCGCATTCACAGTCTCCTGTGCAGGAAGGATACGAGGGTTTGACATCAACCGATAAAACATCGTGGTTGTGCACCACCAAACGGTTACCTCGATTGCAGCACCACAAGCACAGGCACAAGAACATGCACATGCACAAGCAAAACCACGACAAATTCCTCTTCCGCACATGCAAGCCCCAGATACACCCATATACCAAGCACGCGCTCACGTGTAGCACTATCCCATCATGCCGTGCCACTGCACTTCCAGTCATCCTCAATAGTAAAACCTGCCTCTGTGTGCGTTGTCCATGCAATGCCGGGTGCGAGTGCGTATCTGTTCTTCGGTGCAGCCTCCATCTGCAAGGGAGCGCCGGCCGTTGTCGTCACCAGTGGATCAGCAGCGCGGTGGTGCACTCTGCATTGTGTGTGCGTGTGTGCGTGCGTGCGTGTGCGTGTGCGTGCGTGTATGTGTGTGCGTGCGTGTGCGTGCGTGTAGGTGTGTGCGTGTACGTGTGTGTGTGTGTGTGTGTGTGTGTGTGAATGAATGTGTGCGTGTGAAAGAGAGAGAGAGAGAGACATGAGAACAAGTGAGTAACATAGCCACCAAGTTATATCTGTCATACATACACCGACAAACACACACACGTAAACGAATGCACGGGAGTGCAATTCAAGTGTCTACCGTGTAAGGCCCGTGCTGTCGTGAACCGGTGCGTCAGCAAAGAGCTCCGTCTCCACATATGTCCCGTTGGCGTTTGCGATGACTTTGTGAAACCCTTCAGGTTGGAACACGAATCCACCCACCTCCGCAAACGATGGCTGTTCGTCGATGTCATCCACAGCGTACATGTGTGCCGTCGCCAGCATGGATGCTGGCAGCAGGTTGTACTGGAAGGCAGTGGAGAGGGATGTGCGCGCACGTATGTGAATGTGCGTAGGTGAGTATGTATGTATGTATGTGAATGTGCGTATGCGTGTGTGTGTGTGTGTGTGCGTGTGTGTGTGTGTGTGTGTGTGTGTGTGTGTGTGTGTGTGTGTGTGTGTGTGTGTGTGTGTGTGTGTCGTGTGTGTCGTGTGTGTGTGTGTGTGTCGTGTAGTGTGTGTGTGTGTACGCGCGGGAGTTGTACTGTGTAAGGGACTAAAGGCAGATCGAAGTAGGAGTAGCTAGATGATATGATTATTATAGGACTACAAGAGAATAAAGTGAGGGGTACGAGAGAGCGAGGGATAGAAGGTAGATGGTGAAGAGATAGTAATCGGATAGGTCAGTACCGGAGACGAAGCGCTATCGGCTGTCGTCTAGAGGAGCACATAGCGCGATGGACCATTAGACTAAGCAACATCGAATCGGTCTTAGGTCAGCTAGCAGGTATGGAGGAGTATGCATCTAAGTTACGTCGCCGAACGTGTTGC